ATAGTATATGGATGTCCATCTGGCATTCTGTGAAACAGAAACACAGGGAAATAAGACCAGTTGAACAAAATAGGTTGGCTGGTGTGGTTTACAAGAAAGAAACCAACAAAAACATCAAAATGTAAATATTATCCTGAATTGACCAATCTGAATAGGGTCAAAGCGCACATACACACACACACCAATATAAAATCAATCTAAACAGCATTTTTCTGGAAAATTAGTCATACTGTAATTAATGTAATTTAAGTTTTAGGTCAGTGGAATTAAAAAAATATTCACGAATGGCATCCTTCCCTTATGATCATCTTTACCTGAAATTTGTGCTTACAATAAAATGATAGAAAACTCTATATGTAATCTATCGATTTACATGGTACAATAAAGTTCATTATTATTATAATAATACCTGTAATTTGTGCTTACAATAAAATGATAGAAAACACAATATGTAATCTATCGATTTACACGGTACAATAAAGTTTATTATTATTATAATAATACCTGTAATTTGTGCTTACAATAAAATGATAGAAAACACTATATGTAATCTATCGATTTACATGGTACAATAAAGTTTATTATTATAATAAACAAATCCAATTTTTGTCACTCACCATACCACTTTGTACCATCTTTAACCGCTTGCTTAGCTTCTAATAACAGATCTTCATGCATTGTTGGAAAGTATGCATTCTACAAAAATAATCAAGATCATAATTTACACATCAGAACTTTGCTAGATGACATTTTTAATTCTTGTGACATAATTTACCCAGTTCTTGAGGGCAGAGCTATGTCACAGAACATTCTACTTTGCTACTTGTAGCACTGTACCATGTATTTCTATGGACTCTGTGCAAGCTGCTGTGGAACGCCGGTCAACGAGCCGTTGAAAATAGCTAAAGTCAAGAAAACTACACAAACTCAACTTTGAAGTAATCTTGAGCAACCAAATATATTATATATATTTTACATATATGGGTAATCTAGTACACTGTTCAGGACAGTCTCAACAACTATCCCAAAGAACAGTTTTCCCATGATGTATCCTTGGAAGGAAAAGATGTAAAATAACAAGGTTATTACGAAGATACCTCAAAGTATGCACTCAGACAGTACGCTGTCGCATCAACCTCCACTGCGCGTCGGTCGATACTGGCGCTGTACTGTCTTCGGACATACTTTGAGGTATCTTTGTACTTTGTAATAACCTTATATTATTTAGTTCCATGTACAGGCATCTTTGAGTACCAAAAAGGTATTGTACACAGTGTGTACTCTACACAATCGATTTTGTAAGATTCCTTAATCAAAATGAACCCCCCCCCCCCCGGAAGAATAGTTGAGTCAGCCTGTTGACTGCTGGGGAGGTAGGTCTTCAAGAAAAAAATAAAACTGTATATAAATGACTTGAGACACAATGAAAAATGTTGTGATGCCCGAGTTTCTTTGTATTTACACTTATTATGTTTACCAAATTACAAACTCCATAACTATAGTAAGATGTTTTTCATGACCACTATACGAATATTTGATTTTCTGTGGCATAAATAGTTTTGTCACAGCAAATGTTTGTCCATCAGTGGAGCGTCAAAATTGCTTAGAGGGCACACTGGTTATACACAAGTTTACTGAGTCTTTCATTATAGACAAAGAAGGTGTTTAGAAATGTATAGGTTGGATCACGCTCCGAGGGGCATGATCTAACCGACATAGCACTGCCCGAGAAAAGATTTGTATTAGCCAATCAAATGATGACATTTTGACGACAATTTGTGGTGAAATAGAACCACACTTTAGCGCGACTCTGATTGGTTGAGGGCTGTTGGCCATGTGCTAATACCAGTTAGAACATACGCAATATTTGCACAGGGGAAATGAAGCATCAATAAAGTATCAATTTTACTAAGATTACTGAAATTCCAACTTACGTTCATTGACTGTGGATTGTTC